GGCAAGAAGACTAGGATTTTGTTGGCAACGCTCGCTCTTCCTCGCTGTGCCACCTCACCAAAGAGGAGTCCCACCAGAAGTCCATCTGTATTTGACGACCACACTTGGGTCGGAAGCAGAGTAATCTCGTCCGGGAAGATCACCTCCCGATTTTCGTAATAGCGCACCCAATGCGTGTTCACCGAGAGCAGACAGAAGCTTGTGGCCACGAATCCAACCCAATCACGAATATATCAAGGACGAAAGTGAGGGATGGCTATTTGATGGATTTCAAGAGAGAGTAGACGGTTGGCCCAAGATGGCCGGAGAGTTGGAAGATTAGAGGGGAGAGAGAAGGTAGAGGCGATTCATCAGCGAGCAGGGTGGAAAGAACGAAGAGCTAAAGTAGTGGCTCCCTCTCACGTTGCTGCGCCGTTCGGTGACGATGCTGCACAGATCGGCGTTGAACACGACAATTACTGTCACATCACTTTGCCTTGGCCGAGAAAAACCGAAAACCATCGATGCTTCCACCAGGATCACCGTTGAACCACGAACCGTCAAGATTGTCACTTTCATTGCTGCATGCCTAGCTTGCCGGTTGAATAGCTGCACGAATCACAATAGATCGGGTTTGAGTCGCAGATGAACCACTTGCAAAACTGCAGGGATGGTCGAGGTTGAAGAAGTTTAGCAGAGATCATGGCCGGTTCAAGTGCGAAGCTCATGGAGGTGGCTGTGAGCATAGGGTGTCAGATGAGGAAGAGGAAGGAAGGACAAGATCTTTGTCTCGAGTAGAGAGAGACGAGGAAAAAAGAGCGAGAGGATCGGGGGAAGGAAGAGGAAGAAGATAAGAGATACGGTGGAAGATAGGAAGGGAGCTATGGCTGGGGCCCATTTTTGGAGCGATGCGCGCCGTACAGCCCCGTTAAAACCAAGTTTCACTACGCGAAAGCAGCCAGAAAACTTGGGAGCGAGTTTCCGGTCACGTGCACATTTACGTAGCTGTACTAGGTCCCCCAATTTATACCGGATTTGAGGGCGAGCATTCCCGTTCCGGGCCTCATAACTGCGGACATGTCTACCGCGGGTCAATTCAGTCATCCTTTGTCTTTTAAAGTTCAATCTAGGGACTTAAGTGTGCTTACATTTTGGCCTTAGCCTTAAAGGACACCCGCATGTCCTTTCCCCGTGGCTTGGCATTTTCCCAGATATCTCGGTCGGCGACGAAGAGATATCTCGGTTGGCGGGGCAGAGAGGCTGACATTGGTGGGTGAGAAGGGGAGAAGGGGAGAGGGGGCGAGGTGACGTTGGCGGAGGGAAATGTGTTGCGGGTTGGGGTGACTGACCGTCGGCTGGAACCGTGGTGACAAGCAGGCTTGACAAATGGCGTGTAAATGTCGACAGCGGTCTCTACTTCCATTGTCTTTCAGTCTGCCACCACAGTTTCAAGTGGGTGTCCCAGGCCAGTTTGTGTTTGATGGTCTCAGTTGTGTTGGTTGCCTTGCGGACCCTTCTATAGCATTCTTTAACTGCCATAGTGTATTTCCAACATAGTAGTGGTCTGGGCCCTTCCCACTGCCATTCTGATGGATCGAAGGGCAGCAGGCAGATCGGGGTCGAGGGCTCATAGACCCACCATTCGTCCTCATCATCTCCCAACACACAAACCCTTGTGAGGCCTAGGAGCGGGTGTTGCTTGTCTTGGTCTGGGTTCCGGGTTAATTGTGAGAGCTTTGCACCCAGGATTGCAGCTTCGTATGCTGCTAACTCCACCTGCTGGTCCCCCCCTTTTGGCCACATGATAGATTAGCATGGGGAGAAGGAAGGAGGCCTCAGGAATTACCCAGTCCCCTTCGCAGATCCTTGGTCCCATGCGAAGGGCCTGAACCCATGCAATGGGAATTGCCTCTTGCAGTTGGTGCACTTTTTCTTGAAGACTCCTGACGTATTTTAATTGGGAACGGAGTTGGTCCTCTGTTTTCCACTATCGCGTTTGGTTGTTCCATAAATCCCCAATGGTAAAGATGCCTTTTTTAACCCACGACAGCGAACAGGAATCATGTTTAACTGTGAAGGGCTGTCCTTGGGGGTTAAGGATGTGGGGGTAGCCAAAGCATCGTTGCCACCAGACCTCGTGCCACATAGATAGGGGCCTAAGTCTCGCTGGCCCCACTTCTCTCCAGAGAGAGTAGCAAGGAGGCCCATAGGGGGTCATTGGTCAGATCTTGCTTTGCTGCTGCTGAAGGGGACGTCGGGTCCCTGGTTCTTGGGATGCATGGGATGGACCAGGCCCGGTTAGTGAGCCATGCAAGAGGATGAACCTGATTTTCTTCAGGGGTCTCTGGAGCGAGTTTCTTTAGTTGGATGTGGCCAACGGTCCCCATGGTATGTCCACCACCATTAGTAGCTCGAATAATACTTTGAAAATGAGGGCCTTGATTTGGTCCTCTGGGTCTATGATGGCTAAACCGCCCTAGTTCCTTGGTTGCGCAATTTGAGACCAGGCCACCCGTTTTATGCAGAGTCTGACCCACATTTCCAGATAATTTCTCCACAAGTACACGGCTATGGCCTCCTTGAGGTTGGAAAGTTGTTTAAGCCCTAGGGACCAGAACGTTGTTTTGTACCATAGGGTAGATAGAATTGCGTTGTTAATTGCAAGAGTTTGTCCAACCAGTGAGGTGTGAAGACCTTTCCATTTTGCCATCGCTTGTATGGCCGTCTGGACTAGCCGGTCTCCATGGTCTTTGGGTGGCCCCATTGCCTTCAGTCTGACCCCCAGTATACAGATCGCCTCTTCTTTTTGCCGCCATTTTACTGCCAGCTCATCACGGGGAGGTTGGCCTGCCGTGTGCAACCACCATCCTTCCATTTTGGAGCCCCAGTTGACTTTCATATCGGCAGCAATTGAGAAGAGGTGGACGGTTTTTGCTAGAGCTTCCATGCTAAGAAGGTGTGGCTTTGAGGAGGACAGTAAGACCGTCAGCGAAGAGTGAGGTGACCGGGATCTTTTGTGCCGGTAGCTCTGGGTAGGAGATAGGTAAGTGATGAGAGTGTCAGTTGTCGAGATGCCAGGGAAATCGACGAGTGCACTGGGCGTCCGACGGAGACGTCTCCAGGAAATGTCTCCGATCATACATCTGGTAAACTGGGAGAAACCCTTCTTGGCAGAATGCTACTAGGTCGGCAGACGTAGACCTCAGATCACTCAATGTAAATGGACTCGCTACTGCAGATGCAGAAAAAAGGAGTGCGATTATGGAGCAACTTAGAGGGGTGGGAGAACGTACGTGGCCGGATTTACTATGCATGCAAGAAACCCATCTAACTGTTTTAGCACTCCACGCTCGTGCTCATAATATCATGTGGCCTTTTCAGAAAGTATTCTCTCCAGCCCCAAGGAATGGCTCTGGAGGAGTAGTGTGACGGACCCGCCGAGATGGCGGTCCGTCAGGATCAAGACGGCGTAGAGGTGGCAACTTACCGTAGAGGATCAGCCGGACAGGACCGCTTCGGGCCACGTAGCCTGTGACATCTGTCTACGCCGAGCCATTCGATGCACCCCTATGGTAAGTTGCCACCCCTATGGTCTGTAGGGGTGGCAACTTACCATAGAGGATCAGCCGGACAGGACCGGTTCGGGCCATGTAGCCTGTTGTGACCGATGCACACTCCTATGGTCGAATGGCTCGGACCGGACAGGACCGGTTCGGATGTGGACTGTGGAAGCACCGCATCGAGTTCTGGCAGTCGCAGTTGCTGCATCGAATGGCTCGGCGTAGACAGATGTCA